GGAGACAATAATCATTATCGTGTCATTGCATTGTTTCTTTAAAAGCAAGCATGCGGTACTCTGCGAAAAGGTGCTGTTCTTTAGCACTTCGACCCTTTTACTCCATGCTGTAGTGGCCTACCTTAAGCAGTAAAAAGATTTTATTCAATTTGCAAATCTTTTCATCTGGTCCTGATTCAACTGTGGCTTCCGGTTGTTGCATGCACATTTCTTCTTCTAAATTTTCATGTAAGAACGGTGTACTGACGTTTACATGCCTCGCATGCATTTTACCATATGCTGCGAAGCAAGCAGCGTATGGTAAAATGTACGTGAGACATGTATGTTCCGTTCCACACAGCAAGAAAGACCTGATGGTTGTAGGTCGAACTACTGATGCAAACGTATGGTCGTAGTCAGTTCCACACATTTTTTGACTAAAACCTTTTGCCACTTGTCGCGCCCTTGTAATGATAATTTCTTTCAGCTTGAAACTCCATCGACATCCAATTGGTTTCTTTCATACAAGAAACTCAACTAGTTCCCAAGTTTTATTTCGGGATAAGGAATTGATTTCTTCGTCAACTGCGAGTAATAATTTTTTCCTTTTCTTTGGAATTCAACTTATCCAACTCTTTTTTTTTTTTTTTTTTTTTAAATCTTGGCAATTTTTCCTTTTCTTTGAGCCCCCCCCCTTTCTCAGCTGACATGCTCTGCCTCGTTTTAGCCTATTGGCTTTCGCCCACCATAGTAGCTAACACCTGTCTCCTCCTTCCTAAGACGGAGTGAGATAACAGAGTGTCTAGAACCGTGGATTCAAAACCACTTACTGAATCAATCGTTAAAAAACGCCGCAGTTGCTTTCAGTAGCAGGAGCGGATATAAGAGTTTGTTGCTGTTGTTGTTGGCAATTTTTCGGATATAATTTTAGGTTTTTTTCTCAGTTTCTTCATTGTTTTATCGCCTTCAACCTTCGGGGGGGGGGGGGGGGGGGGGGGGGGGGTGGGGGGGTGGGGGGGGGGGGGGGGGGGGGGGGGGGGGGGGGGGGGGGGGGGGGGGGGTTTACGCAGGGAAATTTCAATATTTTCATTCGCTTATCATTCTTCGACAAATCTTACACTTCTACTGACAATTATATGGTTCTCGTCTGAATAGATTCTGTATACTTTTGATTGTTGATCGTAACCGATTCAAGTTCCTTCAGCTGCTTTTCTCGTCTAATTTTCTTCAGTCTTCCTTATGCTCACATGCATAGGCTGTGCAACCAAATTGTTTCATATGAGCTAGATTAGGTTTCTTACATTCCACGATGCTTAAAGGGATCTTTATCACAATCTCTAGTTGGAAGGCGGCTCTTGATGTAATTTGCTGTTGTGAGAGTTTCATTCCAGGATTTGTTTGAAAATCGGCCTTGAGATAGCGAGACTGGTCATTTCAATAAAGCTTCTATATTTCCTTTCACTCGCACTGTTCTAAGGAGATGAAAAGGGAACGGTAAGTTGATTTTTGGTACTGTTAACTCGATAGGAATTCCTCCATTTCTTTGCTAGTATATTCATCGGTCTTATCAGTTCGGATAGTCTGTATGGTTCTTGCAAATTTGTTTCTGGTTATATCAACTAATTCTTTTAATTTACTAAGAAATTCATTCTTTTCAGCAAGCAAATAGATGACGGTGTATCTTGTAAAGTCATCACCAAAGTTTACAAAATAAAATTTCCCCAAATACTTTGAGTGGGCATAGCCCTGCTAATGTCACTATGTGCAAGTTCAAGTGGTTTGTTTGCACAAAGGCAGCGGTTTTTGGGTAAGGAATCTGCTGCAGTTTATTCTTTATGCATTGTGAACAGCTATCACTATGAGCGCAATTATCTAATTTTATTCCTCTGGCAAGATATCCCCTAATTGTCTGATTGCGTCATAACTTCGATGGCCTAACCTTGAATGCCACATTTGTATACTGTACTTTGTAGAATAGTAGTTTTTAGGGGTATACTAAATACCTTAAAAACTGAAATAACTAATGAACGAAGAACACTCAATTTGTTGAAGTTGCGTCTACACACAATAAAGTGAATACTTTCTATCATATGAGACCGACTGCTACACCCGGTAGAGACAATACTGGAAAGTTACCGATCTTATAGCAAAAACACTAAGAGAAATATTTAAAAAATTAGTAATAGACGTGCACAGCATCACTGATTTAATATGAACTGACGACCTACACGCATCAATAGCTTAATTTAGCTTAATTAAGAGCTCTGAAATACATAACCCTCGACATCGGATCATTTTCATAAATACGTCATTAATCGCATATGTGACATTATAAAGCAGATGTAAATTTACTAATAAACTAACACGTAAGAGAAAGGTAGAGTTTATTATATTACGAAACTCACGCAACAGTAAAACAGTACGAACATGACAAACACAAAATAATATTCTAGAATTAGGAAATCTGAGTACAAATACTTATACATACTCAGTGTATCCCTATCGGCAGCAGTATTTATATTCAAGTCAGAAATTCGTGAATGACGTTTTGCAGCATTTCATGTTATTGCATTGGTTGGATATATATTTCGCATGTTATTGCATTGGTTACATATATATTTCGTATGCTTACTTAAATAAGACTGGTTCCTAGATCTTTAAACTTTGCAAAATGGCAGACTGTATGCCTGGTCTTTCATCCAATCTCACAAGAAATCCAATGTGGTTAAGTGAAATGAACACAGTTCCACCCCACATTTACTTCCATAGCTATGCCTGGTTTTTCATCCAATCTCACAAGAAATCCAATGTGGTTAAGTGAAATGAACACAGTTCCAGTGATCCTGTGCCTGAAAATGCCCGATAAAATTTTCGCGGTGACGCTAGTTGATGTGGCGGAATGCAGTATGTTGGAATAGGCACAAAATGCAGATAAACTAACAGCAGTCATAAAGTAAATCAAGTACTGTGGCTTGCAATAGTTCCAAGTATCTTCATCCAATTAACGTTCTGTGGTATAATAAGGGTTCTATGAGAGTTCTAATGGATTACTGCACCTGATTACAAATCTTTTTTTACAATACAATATTAAGCTCACCATTCACGCAAAATTTGTCATCCAAGAGCAAATGTAAAACCACACACCGCTCTGATGGCTCGCGTACAGCAGAGTGGGTGAGTTAACGCATAGGACAAAATTGCTATTTGCACGTGCAAATGTCGGCCTACCTGAACAGGGACGATTTGTGATCAGATCTTGACTAAGGCAGGGGCATGCGGGGCAGTTGCCCCGGGCCCCTACATCAGAGGGAGGTCCCAAATCGAACAAAAAGTTTATTTTACGTTTCCTTTTTTAATGAACTTTTTTTTATACAAAATATCAGTACAGTGTAAAATCCGCCAGTTTTATGTTAGCTTCTTCATTAATCTATCGTATGAAAGCAAAAAAATCTGTATTTCGTAAATCCATGGCTTTCTACAGCGTAATTCACTGATAAAATAATTACCTTTCTTAAATAATGAAGTTTGTTTTGTTTGTATGCAATAAACAATTAAATACTCCTACATATGAAAATAACTGTTTAGAGATTTGCATATATTTCATTTGAAAATGTACTAATATTTAGTTTATGAGATTTAGAAGTTTCTTTTATAGACAGATGCTTAAGATAGTTGTAGCTTTAGTTTTAAGTTTAAATAGCATTTTGAATTAACGAAAAATACCATAGACAAGTTCTATGCACTTAACGAATAGGCTAAAAAGCTTTTTTTTTTATGCATGCCGCATCGTCTTCAGAGCATATCTGGTTCTGCTTCTTGTTTACCTCTCGGCCGTTGTTTGGTAGGTATTACCAAACTGGATTTGTTTGACAAACAAGAGGCAGAAGCAGATGCACTTATGTTATGAAGACGATGCAGCATGCATCGAAAAAAGTTTTTTAGCCTATTCCCTAAATGCATAGATCTTGTCTATGGTATTTTTCGTTAATTCAAATTGCTAAAAAAGTCTTGACATTTTCTAATTATAAATTTAAATAGAATTTTTGTCTAATCTTGGTTCTTCAGATGTGCTATATCCTTTTAATGTTGGACATAAAATTGTCAGAAAATCAATAAAATGGACAGAACGATATTTCATCTGAAGTAGCGAGGACTTTATAGCTACTTTAGGTTCTAGTCAATGTTCTTGTTATATACGTATAATAAGGTGAGAAATTTAAATACCTCCCTAAAGTTCGGTTCTTCATTACTGAAGTAGTGAAGCAGAGGAGGGTCCCCAAAGAAGTTTTTGCGCCGGACACTAGTTAAAGTCGGGTGCTGTTTGTAATGCTTCCTCTTTTTCTAAGACGGCAAACATATAGCAGTCACAGTAGGATAAGAACTATTAGGAAAACGTAATACATACTGCCGTGTAGCTTCTTTTCCCGACGACCGCATTCGTCATACAAGGAAGCCATCTTGCAGGGTTCCCCGTATGAATAACTATGTTTAGACTCAAAGATCCAGTCTACGCACTGTGTGATTAAGCTTCCCTGACTTTTAATTTATGTTTCCCAGTGAGATTTGGTGTAGGGTTTGGATTTTCATGCTATCACCCATCCATCATCTTTTGGAGGCAAACTCCTTTTAAAGACTACGCTTTGCGATGACATTAACGCCGTATGCCGGTGATCGGATAGTAGGTGATCTGCAGTTCAGGAATTCTGTTCAAATTATCGGTATATTTAAAGCATCATTCCATGCTAAATCGGTGAACGATGTACAGATTTACTGACTTTTTCCGTTATCTCTCATAGTTTTCGCTAATTCGGTGCCATATGATAAAGCATAGCTACTTTAATGTACATAGCTACAACTTCTAGTTTTCTGTGCTAGAAGTTACTTCTGGATAAGGACTTCATTATACACCTCGCATGTACAGAGAAATAAGTTTCCACGATATTAAAAAAACATTCTTAATCAGTGTAACTTTGAAGCAATATTGTTTTTCATTACTAATTCTAATTAAAATTTATTTCTAGGTACATTTAATTCCCGTTTTATTCATAACCGCTACTTTTGCAAAGGAGGATAAGATTTTAGTTTCAAATTCAACAAGCCAGAACTTGAAATACGAAGAAAATACTGATGAAGATTTTAGTTCCTCTACGGTTTCAGAAAGTGTTCAAGATTCCATTGGCATGCCAGATTATCACCCGAAACACCCTCATCAAACAAAATCAAAGGATTCAGCAGCACATTTACAGCCACACAGACGTCCAGTCTATGAAGTTGTAAATCAACCATGTTACCCAGCTGGATGCAGTGGCTACGGGCATAATGGCCCATGGAGACAACAAAGCAATAGATTTGTACCATATAATAAATACCCATATGGCACCAGACACAGAGGAAGATATCCACCTGTAGAAATATATCCAGGAAATGATTATATGCGGCCAAGCTATGACCCACGATTTGGTGATTATCGCTATGTACCTCGCATGCCACCGTATCAAAGAGACAGGTACGGTAGCTATGGTGTGTATGGTCAGCCTCCATACGGTTTCGATTATATATAAAGAACTGATGCGTCAGCTTTATGCAGCAGTGTTGAGAAAAGAAAAATAAAGCTCTTAACCGATATATTTCCAGACGACTTCGTTTTCTTACAACCATTTTTTTTAAATAAATTATGCACTAAGTTTTTTTTTAATTGAGACAAATGTTTATAAGTATTTTTTAAGTCACTGAACATTTTCGTCTATAACGTGTCGCACATTTTTATTTTACGCATTCTACATCCTATACTTATGAAAAAGATGAAGTTTCTGTCTACTCATAATTTAAACGAACTTCCTCACTGGAAGTAAGCATCAACGTCTCGAAACCATGCCCACTTTGCAACCAAACTCTATATAACACACTATTTTTTAATATTTCAAATTACGCTCAATCTCGTAATTTATATTAATAGGTACGCTTTTATTCTTCTATAATTTTTACCCTAGAAATATATGAATTTTACTATCTGAAAGAAATATATTTATAAAGTATTAAGAACATTAAATACAATGAGTCTTTAAACAGTTAATATAAAAGAAATCTACTCTAGTAGTATTGCCATGTTTACAAGTTATACAAAAATATGAACCTTCTCGGCTATGACGCGCTTTTATATTTTTTAATCAATTAATTCATTTCTCTGATTAAAATTAATAAGGAAATGAAATTCATATTTCGTACAAAAGCATAAAATAATTCACCGCATACATAATTGTGAATTATTTTTATAAATACTCCTCATCTTACTGAAAAATCTTAAAGGGAAAAAAATCAATTTAAATAGTTACACGAATATAAATTAATTGCAGGAATTGTCTTGATTGAACTTACTCTAAGACATATCTGTACGTGCGCTGCAATATGCCATTGTTCAGAACACTGAGGGACATCTTCAAAAGATAAAAAGTTTTATTCCAGAGGTATCCTCTGAAACCCAATAATGGCAGCTTACATATTGACTTGATTCTTTTATAAACATGACACCGACTAACCAACCATCTAAAAGAAATTAGTGCCTACTAATATTTAAGTATACTGAATAGCTATGCATCAAGAAATCAAAATCTCTAACGTTAAAGTAAATCTAATGAACTAAATCTGTACACATTTCTACAAATTAACAATCATTTAATTCAGTATTTTATTCCCAATGAAGAAAAAATATTGGGCTTGTCCATATTATGCAGAATCTGCTTTTAATAAAAACTCTCAAAATACTTGTACATTATTATTCATTATTTCAGTCAATTTTAAAATATTCCATTTTGCATTTAAATTTGAATCTTGATTTAAATACACATATTGTTTTTTATATTTGACCAATGGTTTTTATTTATTTTATTTATATGCTGCGAATACTTTTAGTGAGGTCTTCGATATGCTAAATGTAAGAATGCTTCTTTTAGATCTTGAAGTACGCACTGATTATGTGTAAAATAATTAATGATTAAAATATTCATCACTTATTTTTACCTAACCGAAAAACAAATCTTAACTCATTTTAAAATATCTATGCTCTTCCCCTAGATATTAGAAGTTTAAGCACGACATAAAATATTTTTAAGCATCACTACATCAAAAACAGAAACCAGACAAAGAAAGCCGCACACCTAACATGGCAGTAAAATGGAAGCTATGAATATGTTCGCCAGAGATAAAGAAAATGAATATTTTTAGTATTAAAAAGAATGATATCCTATAATTACTATACACATAATTTCCCAAACCGTAATATAACAAATCTCGTATTAGGAATATTACGTAAAGCTGCACACTGTTTTTCGTTCACACAACTTACTGTCTAAGAAAATGGTTCACTTTAAAAAGCCCAACGCTCAGGCAGCCCGTTCTCCTAACTACTATATACCAAAAGGTGGCATTTACTTTAAGTAGGTTAAGTAGCTGATTACAGCTACGCATACATGAGCTATCTGAAGATAAAGATAGCAAACTTTGCTTACCTTTTATTCATGTGTCCAGCGTGTCGGTTTAACCTCCGAAATTAAACTTGTGAAAGATGTTTTAACGTGTATCCATTATCAGTCTAAATGAATATTCATATACAAATCATGTTTATTCAGTTCTAACTAAAATAATAAGAAGCGACGGATACATTAAGGATATATACGAGCACACACGAGATAGTAATTATAAAAAGTGAAGAACAGAATAACAGGATTAAGGCATGTCGTTTTGGGCCGTGGTAGGCGGCGCACGCTTTGGCGTTGATAAGGTTACTAGAAAAAGTGAGTTGTAAAAGATATTTATCAAATGCTTGATTGATTTACAATAATTTTCCCTTTAATCGTGCATTTGGGGAATGGCGGAAATCAGATTTAGCTAGCTTCTTAATTTCAGAAATTTTGGTTTGGGCAATGGCTTGGTGCAAATATCTGCAATCATGGAATTTGTATTGCAGTCAGTTATATCGATTATTTTATTCGCTTCCATTTCTCTTAAGGAGAAATATTTAACATTAATATGTTTTAGCCTGGTATTCATTTTTCGTTGTTTGACAAGAGCTGCTGTGGACTTATTGTGCTCAAATATCTTAATGGGCAATTTTTGGGGTAGTCCAAAATCTTCAAGGAAATCTAATATTCATTTGAGCTCTCCAGCAGCAGTAGCTGCAGAAATAAGCTCGGACTCGGTAGATGATAAGGAAACACAATTTTGCCTCTTTGTGGACCAAAATATTGAGCTGTTTCCTAAGAAAAATAAATTTCCCCCAGTTGATTCGTCTATTAGTTAAATCAGACGCATAGTTAGCATACGTATAACAGAAAAGTGTTGGTGGGCTATCAGTGTCAATTTTTAGGTAAATGTCCTTTGTAGAGTTCAGGTATTGAATCACTATTACAACTGCTTTCCAGTCCTTCTCATTTGGAGATTCATTCACTGCTAGGGTAATGTCCAATCTGGTTACAGTGGCTATATATAGTAGAGCTCCGATAGCTTGCCTGTACTTGGTATTGTCCACTGGAGAGGCGTCCTCTTCCTTTGGATAAGAAGTATCCATTGATGTGTAAGATAGCTTGTGGATATTTGGACAAAAAGTCTTCAATTTTTCTATTTTTGATCTTTGCCTCAATAGGAAATTGTTATCATCTCTTTTAATGTTGATTCCTAAGTAGTTTGCGATTTCTCTGAAGTCTTTTGCTTCGAAGAATAGAGATATTATTAGCCTTTTAATTTTTTATCTTCGCTTTTGCATGCTATAAGGATATCGTCGACGTAGACAATAATCATTATCGTGTCATTTCCATCTTACTTTAAAAACAAGCATGGGTCTGCCGTACTCTGCGAAAAGGTACTGTTCTTGAATACTTCTTCGATCCTTTTATTCCATGCTCTAGCGGCCTGCTTTAATCCATAAACAGATTTTTTTCAAGTTTACATACCTTTTCTTCTTGTCCTGGTTTAACTTTGCCTTCCGGCTGTTCCATGTATATTTCTTCTAAATTTCCGTGTAAAAATACTGTAGTGACATCTACATGCCTCATGTGTATTTTCCTATATGCTACGACAGCAAGAAAGGTTCTGATGGTTGTATGTCGAACCTATTGGTGCAAAGGTATGATCTTAGTCAGTTCCAAATTTTTTACTATAAACTTTTGCGACTAGTCGCGCCTCGTAACGAATGACTATTTCGCCTTCATTTTCTTTCAGATTGAAAATCCATCGACAAACATTAGGTTTCTTTCCTACAGGAAGGTCAATCGGGATAAAGAATTGATTTCTTCCTCAACTGGGAGTAATCATTTTCTATTTCCTTCGGGATTCAACTTTTCCAAGTCTTTAAAATTCTCAGGTATGCTTCTGATTGTGTTTGTTAAGAATCCTCGAAGTTCTAGTGGTTTTTCTCTTCGTTTTCCTTTCCGATCGTATTGGCTCTTTTTCAGATACAATTTTGGTTTTTTCTCAATTTCTTCGTCGTTTTCATCCTTTGGATGGGAGGAAATTTCCATATTTTCATTCGCAGATTATTCTTCGACAAATTTTACGCTTCTACTGATAATTATACGCTTTTCGCCTGTGTCGATTCTGTACCCCTCTGATCGTAACCAACAAAAGTTCCTTCAATCGCTTTTTGGTCTAATTTTTTCCGGTTTTCCTTACGTACATATGCACAGGCTGTGCAACGAAATTGTTTCATATGATCTAGATTAGGTTTTCTTCCGCTCCATGATTCATAGGGAGTTTTATCACAACCTCTGGTTGGAAGGCGGTTCTGGATGTAATTTGGTGTGTTGACAGCTTCACCCCAGATTTTGTTTGAACGTTGGCCTTGAGATAGTAGGCACCTAGTCATCTCAGTAAGGCTTCTATTTTTTCTTTCGCTCACACCGTTCCGAGGAGGTGAAAAGGGAACAGTAAGTTGATGCCGTTATTCGGTAGAAATTCCTCCATTTCCTTGCGGAAATATTCACTGGCGTTATCGGTTCGAAGATTCTGCATGGTTCTTCCAAGTTTATTTCTTGTTATACTGACAAAGTCTTTTATTTTACTAAGAACTTCATTCTTTTTAGCGAAAAAATAGATGATAGGGTATCTAGTAAAGTCATCCATAAAGGTTATGAAGTAAAGTTTTCCACGAATACTTGGAGTAGGCATAGGCACGCAAATGTCACTATGTATTATAAGTTCAAGTGTTTTGCTTGAGCGAACACTAGTAGCTTTTGGATAAAGAATTTGCTGTACTTTATTCTTTATGCATTCTGAACAGCTATTATTATAAGTGCAATTATCTTATTTTATTCCTTCAACAAAAATTTCTCTTAGTAATTGTCTGATTGCATTATAACTTCGATGGCTTAACCCTGAATGCCATATTTGTACACAGTTTTTAATTTTAGATTCAACAGCAAAATTAGCATTTTCTGGATTTTTGATTAGAACAATTTTATATAAACTATTATCATCAGAAAATGAGCGCATAATTATTTGGCTACCCTTTTTGACGCAACAATTTTCTTTTTCGAAAGTAACAGAATATCCTTTACTATCAATTTGCTTAACGGAAATAAAGTTGCTCTTTAAATCAGGAATGCAATAAACATTAATCAATCTATTATTAATATTATTAATTATTAATTCTTGTTTATCAGTTTCAGAAAGTTTGTATATTATATGCACAGTTTTAAATTTTAG